CGAGTCCCTGTCTCAGAAGCATTGGAAGAACTTCGTGAAACAATCACAAAGTATACTCCACAAGGCCCTCCAACGCACCAATCGGAGCAAGACAAAACTGAGTATTTGCACGACGCCGTAATTGGAGTCGAATGGGCCAAGAGCGTGCTGACTCAAAGTTTGGCTGCCATACCTCCTTGGACGTTCCAACAGCTCTATACTGCCCTTGATGCCGCTTGGTTACAAGAACAGAAGCAGAAAGAAGGGCGCCATCGTGATCACAATGACGTACACCGTAACCAACCAATGCCTGTAATCCCTGGCATTCATTTTCAGCGTCAGAACACGTATGGCATCCCCCGCCGTCCAGGATCTGCTTCTTCCAATCCCAGGACGCCTTATCCTCCCCGACCTGCTTCTTCCAATCCCATGACGCCTTATCCTCCCCGACATGCGAGTCACCACCAAACCATGAATAGTGCAGATCGATTCGGAACCATTCGCGCTTGCCACAACTGTGGAAGTGAATTTCATCTCATTCGGGACTGTCCCAAGCCCTTAGCTCTCAGGAAGAATGTCAGCCACATGTTACAGACCAGACCAGCGAAACGCATCCTCTACGAGCTATGTGAGCAAGCCGAACATGCCCTAGGTACGAATGAGATCGATTTCGCAGCTTTCGCAGACGAACCACAACATGACCCCGGTGAAGTGATTCTCAATGATTTCACCTTCAGCGATGATGACGATGTCGCAGATCAGGCTGTGACACATCATCAAGTCGTACACACGCCACTGAAAGAAGAAGAAGTACTGTGGGATACTGTAGATAATCTGGATCCAATGGATTTTTGAGTAACAGCAGTCAACACCCGCAAAGTAAACACATTTTCTTTGCGACTGTCTGCAGTAAAAAGCAGTGTAAGTTCAAAATCACCCGCCGATCTAATCGAGCTCGCAGAACACGACTCCATATATATCGGAGGAAACACAAAGAGATCCATACTGTATTCCACACCAATGGAAGGCGTAGTCTTCCACATGCCAACACGCCCAATCACAAGCCGAAATGGGATGGCGCATGTCTCGATACTGGTGCCCAACGAACCGTCATTGGCCTCGCACAAGCCAAAGCGTACTGTCGCTTCACTGGCACCAAATTCAAGCCCAAACCCAGCCCCATTCACTTCAGGTTTGGCAACGATATCCAATCATCCCTTGGAACCATGAACATCTCTATTCCTATTGCTGATAGGTACCTTATTCGTGAAAACGTGGACATCGTCAAGGCTAATGTCCCCTTTCTTATTGGAATTGACCTCTTGGACAAGTACCACATGTTCATTGATAGCGTCAAAAACGTTCTCCGTTCCCCAAAGCTTGGACTCGACGTGCCCCTTCAGCGTAAGCTGGGTCACATCTATCTGGAATGGAACCAGTCATTCAAGACTCACTTCACAAAGGCCGAACTCATCAAGCTCCACCGTGGTTTTTCTCATCCCACCTCAGAGAAATTGATGAACCTACTTCGCCTTGCTCGCCCTTTTGAAGCAGATGAAGCCACCAAGCAGTTTTTGGAATCTTTGCAAGCTGCTTGTGACACTTGTCAACGACTAGGCCCCACTCCCGTACGCTTCATGGTATCGCTACCAAATGAACAAGAACTAAAGTTAGGAGACGAGCTGTCTATTGACTTGATGTTTTTAGATGGAAAGGCAGTGCTTCACGTCATCGACACAGCCACTAGATTTTCATCGGCCATCTTTCTCGACGCTCATGGCGCCACTTATGGACAAAGCGTTGAAGGTATCTGGCTAGCCTTCGTGGAAGCCTGGTGTACCATGTATACTGGCCTCCCTAATCGACTTCGCGTTGACCAGGGATCCGCATTCACTTCTGACCGATGGCGCAAGATAACTTCACAATCTGGCATCCAACTTCGCATATCTGGTGTAAAAGCCCATTCCTCGTTAGGAATTGGCGAACGCCTTCACGGACCGCTGCGAAGGATTTATAGAAAAGTACGAGCGGACTTCCCAGACGCTTCCCCTATTATTCTTCTGAAAATTGCAGTGAAAGCAATGAACGACACAATCGGAGAGAACGGTCTAGTCCCTTCTCTATTAGTCTTCGGAATTGTTCCACGCTTCCCAATCATAAGTGCGGAAATACCTTCGCAGCGAGAAAGAATGCAAATGCTTTCAACAGCGCAGATGGAAATGAACGCAATCATCGCAGAACGACGTGTACTAGCTGCTCTGAATCGGAACATCCCTCCAGCCTCCGATCGTGTGTACAATCTTGGAGACGAGATTCTAGTCTTTTCTGAGCAAGAGAAGCAATGGATTGGTCCATTCCTTGTTTGCAATGTTCACGGACGAATGATAACTGTTCAGAACAGCGAAGGAACTTATCGACAAACGTTCAACGCTTATCAAATCAAGCCATACTACGCTTCCCCCGAATCTATTCTCCACCAGCAAACTGCTCCATTCCGTAGTGGCAAAGCCTCATATCCACCCAATAACGTCCTTCTTACTGAAGTTATACATCCCAATGATCCTCGTGCACAACAATTTGATAATGCTAAACGAGAGGAAATAGAAGGACTGATCGAAAGAGGTACTTGGAAGGTAGTGCTTCGCGATGAAGTTCCAGAAAACGCAAACATCTTAAATGGACGATTCGTCCTCGCCATAAAAGACTCTGGAACAAACAAGGAAGTATGGAAAGCCCGATACGTTGTACAAGGCCACAAGGACAAGATGAAACGGTCATTCGTTCACGACACCTCAACGGCACGACAGTTCAGCGTCAAACTACTTGTCGGTCTTGCTGCTCTTTTTGACTTTAGACTCTTCTCAACAGATGTCACACAGGCATATTTGCAGAGTACGGAAGAGCTCTCCCGTGATGTCTACGTTAAACCCTCATCTGAGTTCGACTTGGATTCTAATCAACTCTTGAAACTACTCAAGCCGTTGTATGGACTAGCCGATAGTGGTGACTACTGGGGTAGAACGTTAAAGCATCATCTAGAGAAGGAACTTGGGATGAAAGCCAGTGTAACCGATGCCGCCTTCTTCTTCAAACGAATTAGAGAGAAGCTTACTGGGCTATGTGCTACTTATGTTGATGACTGTCTACAAGCCGGCACTGAAGAGTTTTGTCAACAGGCCAAGTGTGTCGAAAGGAAATTTAAATGTCGACCGAGGGACTACGACAAGGTCCAATTTGCAGGCATTAAGATTGAATCCACACCTAACGGATTCCAAGTACATCAGAAGCACTATATCTCCAAGATTAAGAACATCAGTAAGGAAGCTTCTTTCAAAGACTTTCGCTCACTTCGTGCCCAACTCTCTTGGGCCACTCAGTCCCGTCCGGATATTACATGCTCTATTGCACAGGCAGCTCAGGTTACTGAAGAAATCTTCAACTCGGACCCCACGAAGTACTGCAAGGGACTTAATTCTGTGGTAAAACATCTCCTTGCCAGTACAGATCAGGTCCTCAAATTCCCTAAATTGGACCACAAAAGTCTTCGGTTACAAGTCTATTCCGATGCATCATACGGAAACAACCTTGACGGATCTTCTCAGTTAGGATATATCATTTTCCTTGCTAATGCAAATGATAATTGCCAACCATTGTTCTGGTCGTCGCACAAATCCAAACGCGTTTCCAGATCTGTCCTAGGAAGCGAAACAATGGCCTTTGCTGACGCTTTCGATATGGCCTTCGCAATGAAAAACGATCTTCACACCATGACATCGCTCGACATTCCGATCGTTATGCTTACGGATAGTCTATCCCTGTTTGATGTTATCACTAAAGCAAAGATAACATCCGAAAGGCGACTAATGATCGATGTTAAAGTTGTCAAGGATGCATACCAGAGACACGAACTGCACGCCATAGGCTTCATTCGCTCCGAACACAACCCCGCAGATTCTTTGACCAAGGTGAAGAAAAGTGATATACTGATCGAGATGATACAACGGTCAATTCTTACACATCCTATCGAACAGTGGATCAATCGCAATTCGTGAACACATGACATATGTCACGAAAAAGTTTGGGGAGTGTTAGACTTATTGAATAGACTACAGTAGATATCACACTTCTATGTTATCAATATCAATTCAGGGATTATGTAGGCTATATTTAGCTATCAATTATAGAGTCCCTTAAGGACGTGCCACCTACAATTCTACATGTTTTAGGGTGTAACCGTTTAGACATATTTCGTGGGTGGCGCAACCTCCCTTTTATGGTAGTGCGCCTACTTTTGTTGTAGAGTCAATAGGACTATAAAGCCAGGTCGAAGACGCTACTCGTCTTCGACCTCAGCATATTCGATCACCTGAACCATCAACCCGACAACCCCGTCCCCTGACCGTGCTCACCAACTGTAGCGGTTCCGAGGCAATACCCTGCTGCTCTTCCCCCTCCCTTTAACGTAACCCTATTTACCACCCTTTTACCCTTTACTAAAATCCCCTCTGGACCGCCCCCTTTTCGGTCGGTCTCCCGACAAAAACTTCTTCCGTCTATGGAGAAAGTCTCACGGGCTCTGACAGATCAAATAATTTACAAGGGGTCCACTGTTCAAGTTGGTCGGTTCTAACTTTGAGCCAACTTGCAACTTGCAACTTGGAATTTCCAGCATCCACAGTAGCAAATTGCCTCTGCATTGGCAAGCTACAGTATTGATTTTGTACAAATTTTGTACAAATCAATGGCAGACAGAACCCTCAAATCAAAACAAACGTTGATGCAGATGCATCAAAACAAACGTTGATGCAGCCTCACATCAAAACAAACGTTGATGCAAACGTTGATGCAAACGTTGATGCAGTACTAGCATTACAGTGAATCTACCAGACGGAGCATTGGACCCTCGGTATTTTGGTGCGAGCTTCGACTTAACACTTTTCTTCCAATTCAGCAAAAACAGGTTACCCTCGGCCGTAGGTTGCTTTACAGTAGAGCAGAACCTCAAATTCTGGTCACAGATTATGAGATTGATGTCAGTGTCAACACTGGAGAAGCGGAATGGCCTCATGCACGATGGGTCAAGTAAGTCCAATAGACTGGAGAGACTGTGTATGCAAAACGCTGCACATACAGGCAGAAACTATCTCTCCTCACTTCGGAGCCCCGGTCGTTCCTTTGGCAGCTCGATGGATGCTCAAAACGACTTTCATCGAGGCGTCGAAAGTAGCGGTAGCCCCCGTGATGTCCCTAGGACCACGGAGTGCCCAGCATGGGCTCGTCTCCGTCAACAGATGACAAACGCCTTCCCTTGCTATTACGCAAATCCGAAAGACCCCTTCCGTTCAGAAGTCACTCATGCCCTCGCTCTTCTCGACGAATTGAAGCACAACAAGCCAGATTGTCCCGTCTTCTACGGCAACCCTCTTGAGTTCGCATCTCATGTCACCACGACCGCTGCCACCATCGCGGAGAACACCACCCCCCTCGACACTGTCGTGTCCCAACTCGTTGCTCTTTTCGACAGTATGAACAACACAGCACATCCTCACTTTCAGTTCAACGTCATCCCGCATCCAAACAAAGCAGCCATTATCGCCGCATTGCTCGCAAACTGTACGTCCCAAAATTTCATCGCGGGGCATAGCGCTTGGAACACGATCCGCGCCGAGAAAGAAAGCATCGCAATGATCACTCGCTTGATCGATGCATGGGATCCAGCTCATTCCGGCGGCATCTTCACATATGGCGGAGCGGGATGTTATCTCTACGGCATCAAATACGCGCTCAATTTTGTGATGAGCAACCGAGACATCCGCACAAACGGCCTCTACTCCACACGGGTAAACATTATCTGCTCTCAGCAGGGACATTACGCCAGCAAGATCACTGCAGACTGGCTCGGCCTTGGTACAGAATCTGTCGTCGAGGTCGCAACCACAGAACCTTACAATGAGATGGACATGGACGATTTGGAGGCTCGCTTGCAGGCTTGCCAGAGGGACCACATACCGGTCGTCTCCATTGTATGCACAATGGGAACCACAGACGCTATGGCAATTGATCCTGTTGACAAGGTGGCAGCACTCGTTGAAAAATACCCTAACCCCCCCGGGTTTAACAAGCCCCTCATTTATTGCGATTCCGTCTCTGGTTGGGCATTCCTCTCCTTTCGCGGCTACGATTTTGAAGCCAACCCCCTCCAGTTCTCGCATGATGTGAACAACGCTCTCCGTGTCACCTATGAGAAAATGTCAACGATACAGCACGCAGATGCAATCGCTATCGATTTTCACAAGACAGGCTGGGCCCCGTACACAACCTCTTTGTTCATGGTCCGCGATTTCGCGCACTTTGAAAGCACTATGAGTCGCACAAAGTCTGCCTACATCCACAATCGCACTCCATACAATCCGGGTTTGTACTCCTTAGAGGTATCTCGCTCCGCTGCCCCAGCACTTGCAGCATGGGCTACGCTAAATTACTTTGGATTGGCAGGCTTTCGTGTTATTCTCGGAGGCGTCGTAGAGATGTCGCGCTATCTGCGCTCGATCATTAAATCTGAACCATCGATCACGTGCTGCAATGCGGCTGACTGCGGGCTGGTGACTGTGTTTCGCGTTTATCCGGAGGGCATCGATGCGGAACGGCAATATGCAAAAGAGATGTCCGATGCAAGCGAGAAAACGCGCGCCGAGCTGGACCGCCATAACGCATTGCAAAAGGACCTCGCAGACCAAATCTGGGAATTTGTGAGAAGCGGGCAAAAAATTGACGGATTGTACGCCCCGTGCTGTAACTACTCTTCCGGGTTTCGCAAAACGCAGTATCCCGATGGTGACGTCAAAGTCACTCAAAGTGAGATTTTCGCGTTAAAGTCTTTCCCTATGAACGTTAATGTGACAAAGGAACATATGGGCCACTTGATTCAAATCCTTAAAGTTTTGACCAGGCGGGTGTGCACACGGTGAAAGATGTCGCAGTGTTCTCTATGTTTTTAGGCGAGCACGGCGTTGGTCCGTCGGTCAAGGTAAACTTATCCGGCTGTCCAAACACAGCCCCCTGTTTTCGCGACATGGTCGTTTCATCGTCGTGTCCCATTCTACAGGAAATCAAGATCAACATCTTTATTACGTAACCATCATTTGCCCAACTCAATCAGGTCTACCGTACCGGATCCAGAGTATTTTGCTTCCGTCCTGTCATTTTTTGAATCGTCTTTCATTTCAAGAATCCTGCATGCTTCAGTTCGCCATTGGCTGTCTACAGATTACATAATCCTAGCGTGAATAACGGGCCAGAAGACGAGAAAGCAATTTCTTGCAGCCCATTTTACGACCGGGCCAGGCCCATGCAACAATGACGCGAACCGAAATGCGGATGTCGAAGAATAAATTTGGAATTCTTTCTAATGACTTCTCACCAGGAACTACTCTGGGTAACTACGCACAGCAGGATATTCTTAAACCTTAAAAGCGTCATTCGGCCATGTAAATTCGTAGTACGATTCATTATGTAAAGTGGGATTGTGTCGCATTACAACTTAGAGAACCGATCAACGGTTTCGAAGAAAGCAGAGTATCAGTCGAGTTGTGTGGAGTTAACAATAACATTTCGAGCTGTTCACCCAGCTGCATCACCGCCTTTTCGTGGAGAGCCGTTTCTGGACTTTGGGGGCTGCATCATTGCGTAGCTGGGATCTGGTCTTCGACATGCATGTCCTTTCATCGCAACTGGTCCAAGAGTCATTTTAATGCTTTATCCCAGTTCCGCTCTAATGCGTTAGCCCATTGTCTCACAGCACAATCCACTCACAATAGTAGGACTTCTCATGCAAGTTGGTGTAACATCGAACAAATTCTAAACCATCAACCTGTATAGCTTCCAACTTGGGAGCGAGCGGCGGATAAATTTCAAAAAAGACAGGGCCACCGCTGCGTACTACACGGGGTGCATGTTTCAAGAATTCCCTAATGACATCCATACCGTCTGTGCCGGCTGTTACAGCGCGCCGGTCCTGGTGATTTACTACTTCCGGCGGAATATCAGAAAAATCCTTATCGGGAACGTACGGCGGGCATCCCACAAACATATCGAATACGCGCTCATCTTGTAGTTCATCCACGGTGCATTGCATGATTTTAACACGATCTGTCATCTTGTGACGTTCTACGTTCTCTTCGCTTAGTTTGGTTGCTTCCTCAGCGATATCGAAGCCCAAACCAGTCCATTTCTTCATCTTACTCAGGATCGCGATGATAATGGCGCCACTACCGCATCCGCCATCCAGAAGGTGGCACTCATTTTTTATGCCTTTTTTTCCAGGACGATTCGCGTATTCCAAAGCAAGATCCACAATCTTCTCTGCTGGGGGGCGCAAGAAAAGGACTGGTGCACGCACAGCGATCTTGACACCATGGAAATCCCACTCACCGACGAGATATTGCAGAGGCTCGCGGTCGCGGCTGCGCCGCTGACACAGAGTGACGAAGCGGTCAAGCTCGACAGGCAGCACAGCCGTCTTATCAGCAAGGGAATCCTCCCTGGATTTCACGCCGCTGAAGGCGGCTGTAGCAAGCATTTCAGCGTTCATTGCGGGGTCGAATATATCAACTGCGGGTTCTGTTAATTCACATTCCTTGAAGACGAGCGTTGCTGCACGAACAGCGGTCGCCACGGTGGCATTCTTTCTGACGGGGTCCCATAAAGTTTCCCAGTGAGAGGCTGGCTCTACAGCGGTAGACATTGTATGGTGCAACCTGTCAGGCGAAGTCGTTGTGGTAGGTGGGCGGTTGTAATCAAATGTGAGAAGTCAGATACATTCACAGACGGCGTAGACTAGTGTAGGCTTGGGGTTTTACGTTGGGTATTTATGTTGAAAAGGCTACAGTTGATGTCGTACAAGTGTGGTTTTGGGCGGGAGAAAGGCAAGTGTTTACTACAGAGTTCTTAGAGTGATTGGTACCAACGTGTCCACTCTGATAGCTGCTGCAGCGGAGAAGACCCTGGATGCAGTTTGGATGCAGTTACAGAGTAAAGTCTCGATATCGTGAACCGAAATGTGGCGCTTCCGAGCAGCCCATTGAGTTCGCCTTACCGAGGCAGTTCACGGCGGCGGAACTGCTCGTGTACACGTGTACCCTTTTTACGGGTACAGTATGATTTGGACCACACCGGTGGAGACGCTCTTAGAGCGTCTCCACCAATGCCGATGATACGGTCACAGGAACACAAACTCACTTTCCTTCACTCTGTCCATCGACGGGCAAGGTCGACGGGCAAGGTCGACGGGCGCAATTCCATATCTGGACCACTTCACATTGTGATCCAGCCTTCCTTTTCTTTTAATTCTGCCACATCCAGAGTCTATATATAGGGGTTGTCCACTGGCTACGAGTGCAGACACGCGCCGAGTGCAGATATGTGCCCCGAGGCTTGCCGAGGGCACCATATCGCAGCACGAGGCTGCGTGTCTGCACGCTGTAGTCAGTGGACAATATGCTTGTCTACCGGCTGACAGTGAAATGCTCGGCCACGTAGATGTATGACACAAGTCCACCAATGATAAATCGCTGTTTTCCGCCGCCGTCGCTGTCGAGAGTACGGGAAATTCGAGACCATCAATTGTTGGGCTCTCCTCCTAGTTATCATACCCCAATTGATGGACTCCAAAGGGTCAAAATCGCATATTTTTGTGGAAATTGATGGCAATTTTTGAGGTACTCACAGCACTCTGCCCTTTTGTATCGCTGCAGGGGGTTCTATGGGAATCTACAGAAACACCAATACGCAGCGACAAGCTTCCACAAACAAACACAGCCTGTCCAGTTCGCTGTAATTCTTGGGCGTAACGCTGCGTGACGTGGTCATAACCAGAACTGGGAGTGCAGGGCTCAAAGCACGTAAATCATATGCTACAGAGCACATCGCACAAACAGCAATTGTGCACTGGTGCCTTCTTCAGCTTGCATGTTCCAACACTCCAGACGATGGAACAGACACAAAAAAACAGATCAGCTCTCGCGCCTGCATTAGATCTCCCCTTTGGATCCCCGCGTGCCACTACTTTCTTCCACCTTGTACAGGATTCTCGTTGTATCAAAGGTAAAAATAAAGCTAAATTTACGTCTCAGACCGCATATGGAGCCATACCAGGGCCCTGATGAGGCGATTGCCGCTGATCGAGACTGATCAAATCAATATAACATGAATTTCGCAAACATTAAAATGAACTCGTACATTTGCACATGAACCCAGACGCAAGGTGCAACAGGCACTCGTCATCTCAAGTTGAGTTTAGTTGTGCGCAGACTCTCTCAATTTGAGCTGCTGATTCCGTGTCGTTAGCTTATTTTAGTGTTCCTACAATTTCTTATCGGAGCCATCGCACTTGTCTTGTTCATTTGGTGTATAGGGTGGTGAGCAGAGAACTTGATCGTGAGAGTCGACAGCAGCGGCACCGGAAGGCTACAAGCCGACACGCACCGGAGTCTGTTGCGAGGGCAGCGGTCGGACCACGCTTGGCGAGCACGACAGAAAAAAAGAAAAGGAACGACGGTTGGGCAGGCGTTCACGAGCACGGCCTTTCGCGGAGGTGCAAAGAAGTGAGACGCGCGGGTAGGGGGTGTCATGCGTCCCTAGCTAAGGCGGCGATCTCTGCGTCGAGCCCGGTTTCGTGTCCCTTCGCGGCGACTTGTACGGGGTGCGGCTCGGGGCCGGCTAAGCAGTGGTGGTCGCGGGACTCCTGCGCGGCGATGTGCTCTGCGATCTGGAGTGAGGTCGCGAGGTCGCAGCCGGGCGGGGGCTGGGCGTGCCTCACGACGACGCCCTAGCGGAGTCTGCGGTGGAGGATGTTGAAGTCGTGCGAGACGGCGGGGTGCGGCGGGGCGGCGCGGGCGGGAGTGCGACGAGGAGCGGGGATGTAGGGGGGTCGGTGTGTGCGCAGGCGGGCAGGGCCAGGGCGGCCGAGGCGTGGATGCTACCGCATTCTAACTCACCCTTAAGAGCCGCGGATGCCCGCACCATCTTCGCATTCTCAACTGTGCCATGGCGACCAAAGCCCCTCCCGGCCCAGACACCTCCACTCCAGAGGTTTGTCCTTGTAAAGCGACGAGGCGCGCATAGAGTTCGAAGAGCGGTGCTTTGCGAGACGTAGAACAGCTGGAGATGGATAGAGAGGAACGGCGCAAGGAACGAGAAGAGGCCAACAACCTGAAGCTTGAAACATTCAAGCTTATGATGGAGTCGTTCAAACAGCACAAGAAAACGCACTGACGGCTTCCGCCCCTTAGCCCCCCACACACTCCCATTGCCCCTTCCTTAAAGTTAAAAGTACGACACCGCCCCCACTCCCCACCGCATTCCCCTTCGCCCTGCTTACCGAACCCACTCGTCCGCCTCCAACCCCTTCCTCCGCTTCCTAGCCCCCCGCGCCACCCCCGCCCTTACCTGGCTACTCCCGACACCCGCGCCCTCAGGCGCATGCTACTCCACTCGCGCCTCGTTTACGAGGACCTTCTCAAGTCCTCACAGCCCCGCTCCTCGATAGACTCCGCCAACAGCCTTGCGCCCCCAACCTCGTACTATCTTCCGCATGTGCCTCCTCCACCCGCGGGGCCAAACGCAACCGCAATCACCATCCCCGACTCCAACCTCCCTCCCAACCTCCGTCCCAATCTCCCTCTCATCCCCCCTCCCCTCCCCTCCGCCGACGCCCCTCCACCGACGCCCCTGCCGCCGCCCTCCCCGCCCCCGCCGCCCAAGGACACCAACACCAAGTCGTGCCCGCACCTCCCCGACGGGCTCAACCAGCCCCCGCCGCTGCCCCAGCCCTCGCTCCTCCGCCGCGGCTCCCTCCCCGTGCCCAAGCTCCCGCCGTTCGACCTGGACAGCCTCCCGTTGCCGTGCCTGCCCGCGCCGCAGTCCACCCCGCGCGGCCACATCCACGCCATCTCCACCTCGCTGTCGCGCTTCCGCCCGTACCTCTACATCGCCTCCGACCCTGTCGCGCGCGACCCGCCCGCGCTCCGGTAAGCCCACGTCTCACACGGTAGCATCTGTTTGGCGCCATTTCTATTTACACGTATTGATAAACGCTTTCAGTTTCTGCTTCACTAAACGGTCCGATTTCTGCAACTTTGGTCATGCTGAGTTGCAGAATTCTGCAATACTGTAATTCTAGTTTCGGTTTCTTTGCATTTTAGTGAGAGAATTGCGGTGGCGCTATCCCTATTGTCCGACTTGAAATGATAACCTCGGTAGCCGCTTTGATCCCCATCGTATTTGCCATTCGCGGTGATGGAGAGGACGATTTGCAAAAAGTAATTGAGACAGCGAAAGCAGGAAACACTAAAGCCCTTCAACAGTTATTTCAACAGCTTGTACAGTCGATTCCGCTTTGGTCGATTATTCTCTCCCTGGTGTTGATCGCCTATGTAACAGCTGTCACAGTTGAAGAAGTTGGGAAATGGCTTATTGCTCGCCGGTACATCGGTCTTGAATGTGTATGTGGCCAGGACGAGAGGAAAAGTCGGTTGTCGTGGCATCATGGCTTCTGCCTGTAAGGCGGCTCTCGGTTTCGCCACAATCGAGAATATTGGATACGTGTCGGGAATGGCAAAAGCGGCCTCACAAAACGGTAGCTCAGAACTGTTCTGTGTTTTTCTTGGTCTCTTCCGAGGTCTTCTCGCTTTCCCAGTTCATGTCGGAACCCACTTATACGTCCCGATCACAGCATCACAGAGACACATCTTCATGGACGACGTCAGCGTGCCGTGGGCTCTTTTTCATGCAATACTCTTTCATGGCACGTTCGATGTCCTTGCGTTTTTATCAGGAGCCTTTTTCGCTCAGATATTGTGACCTGCTTAGATAGCCATGTTGGTACATGATCGGTAGTTCCGGGCGCTGCATTGGGAAGCACTGGGGCCCCCAATGTGGAAGCCCTCAGGGAGGAGGCTCTCAGATGAGAAATGTACAGTAATTGGATTGTTTCCGAAAGATTTCGCAGCTAGTGAGTATGATAAGGAATTTTTTCCTGGCACAGCCCAGCTGCAGAAGTGCGACAGTCTCATGTCTGACCTGCTGCAGAATTGCGACAGTCTCATGTCTGATATGACGGCAGCACTTGCCTCCTTCAACTTACGCGGACGGGATTTCATGCACCGGGGCGGGATGGACAATTTACGAAGGAGAACGCGGCACGAAGAAGCGGAAGAAGACGCTGAGGATGTGGAATACCGAAAGGCAAAACAGTTTGCTTTGTGGATTCCACATCTGAAGCCTCAGCAGAGATTTGTTGTTCGGAGGGACGAAGCGCATGCTTCTTGTACAGGGCAAGGAAGTAGTGTTGAGAAAGATGGCGTTGACGTTGACGGGGACGGCGGTGTGAATGGCGGTGTGGACGGCGATACTTCGAGGGGTATGAAACAGGTTTTGGCAACTCCTTTGTCGAAAGAGGAGAAACGCTTGTGTGTTGCTTCTCATTTGCGGGTAGAAATAGGTCAAACTTCCTATGACATTAACGGACCCGATACTGAGAAGCTATTGGCATTGGACGGATGGATCAGCAATGATGTCATTGACGCTTTCGGAGCTCAAATTAACATACGCTCAAAGCGGAACGGGGTTGGGGTTCATGTAATGCCTACTCACTTTTACTCTGCATTGATGCCTCTAGTGCCCGTGAAGTCGAGAAGTGGGGGTTCATCGAAGACTGGACAAAAGAAGCGAAGCTACAGCTACGGACATGTTCGCAGGTGGCTAGCAAAAAGGGAAGTTTCTTTACTGGAACAGAACGTGCTCATGATCCCAATGTTAATTCACGGCAATCATTGGATTATGTTTTGCATGGATGTGCATCGCCTTAAGGTGTTGTACTATGATCCGATGGGGCGCCGAATGTCGATTAATGAAAAGAAGATATTATCGTTTCTCGTGAGATACATTCAGGATGAGCTTCGCAATTGTGACCAACGTTTGGAGCCCTCGGAAAGTCATGCGTTGCGGCGGTGGAGAACTTCGCATGGAGGTGGCTTGCAGAGACAGAACGATTCATCGTCGTGCGGAGTTTATGTGATGGCTATGGTAGAGCATTTCAGCAATGAGTGCGTCGTGTACGGTGAATGCAAATATTCGAAACCATCATTCGGGTCAGATGACATGATGCTACTTCGCAAACGTATTTTGGTATCAATTATACGGGGTCTGCAGTAGAATTCGTAAAGCGGTGTGCGTTGTTAGAGCCGTAAAACATGATGGAGCCCTATAGGACCCGCATTTTTTCGAGTCCTATAGGGCTCCAATCCTGTGATTGGCTTGGGTCTGTCCAAAGTCTTGCGTCATGACAGTGTAAAGGGCTCTCGAGCCAGACAGCGGTGCGCAGTTTTGGCAACAGAAAGATTCCGATACGCACGTAATGATGTGGTGAAAGCAGCAAAAAGAGGCGGAGTATAAAGAGAAGCACAAGAAACAGTAGGCAAAGGTTGCGGAAAGAAATAGTACGGCGACGAGTAAAGTCGAAGCGATTTCGGAGCGGGCTCCAATATCCATAGGATGGTGATGATCCGATTGGAATGGAGGAATCACCTGCACCAACGATAGGGGTCCTCTCCGGTACAACCATCTTGCGCGCGGGTGTTCTGTCTTCGGAGAAAAGCAAAAGACAGAGAGACGGCGTGTAGCTGCGATCAACGCAGGGTGAAGGAGAATGTGTAGATCTGTTCTAGCAAAGGGGGAAGCGGGGAGGGTGCGCTCTGAGGGAGTGAGACCTGGCACTGCTCGTGAGGTGAAAGGTCAGGTAGGTGAATATGAAGGAGTGGTAAAGGACGTGACAACGTAAGCAGTGTGGATGAGGGCCTCCCCTCACCTCCCCTCACCTACATCCCTTTATCTCTCGAACCTCTATTACTCGTAGATTCCCCGCACTGTCCCCACCGCATCGAGCCAGATTCTCAACCGAAAGCGCAACTGCGGATGACTCCTCCGAGTCAATTATGACCCCATTCATTGCATCTACGACGATTGCATGATCTACGCAATTTTCCTCCTGAATTCGAACAATGAAAACTCCTGTTCGCTTTGCTGCAAGCGCAAGAAACGGTGCTTCCCTTTTGCTACTCTGGATGGCCCTCTGGACTTCTGTATTGCGGACCACACGACACCGCGTCACCGATTCCCGCGCCGTCTGAAAAAGTTCACCCAGTGCCCTAAAATTATGAAATATACGCGATTCCATCTGCAAAGTCCGCTCCAATGCTTGTGCTGCCGCTAGCCCACGGCACGCAAATGCGGCGTTAATGATGGATGCCTTCACACAACCGTGCGTTTTCGATGTGCACCTTGGCTGTCCAGGGACGTGCCGCAGGCTAGACACACCCCACGTCACCGCCTCACGTGCTCCGATTCCTGAAACTCTGACGACCACCCCTCTGTGCCGCCTCATAAACTGCAGGACGTGTCGAGCCACTTCATTTTCTCGCGGCTGCCCTGACAATACCCTGCGCCGCGCCGGCACCACGCACGGCGGCGGGGGTCGGCCTTGATCAAAAGCTAGCGATCCAGGGAGCGGGTAGGTTTGCAAGGTGATTTCTCCCTCGCCGACCCCCTGAAAGATTGCCGCCTCCCACTCCACCGGATAGAATGCCTCCATCGACGCCGTGCCCTGCGCACTCGCATGCGGCACACCTGACATCTCTACATGCCTGGACCCCGCCCTCATCCCTTCTCCGACTACCACGGACTCGATCAGCCATCTCTCCGCTGCGTCGGGCACATCCCTCCGCTCACCCCCCGCGGGCGGGGCACTCTGTACACCGGGAGAGCCGACCAGCAGCTCAATCCCGGGTGGAGGTGCCGCCGCCCGGGCCGACGTGCACCCTTCAAGCGGAGCGCCGCTTGGGGAGCACTGCCGTGGCCGTGGCGCTGGTGATGTCGGGACGTCAGCACGGGCGCGTTCGAGGGCTTGGCGATCTGTGACGTCAACCTGTCCAGCTGGAGCACCTGCTCCGTCAGCCGGAGCATCAGCCACCCCTGGAGTGCCTGCCATTTCAGCCTGACCACCTGCCCCCCCTTTAGTATTTGCTCCCTCAGCCGGAGCACCAGCCACCCCTCGAGTGCCTGCCATTTCAGCCTGACCACCTGCCCCTCCCTCTTGCCGCACGGTCTTTCGCCTCCGGATGCTGCGGCGCTGGCCGCCCCGCCTCCTTCTCTTTTTTGAAGGCGGTTCGGTACGCAGCGCCATGGTGCGACGAAGAGATAGCTACTCTTGAGATCCTGCATTTATTTATTAGTGACCCTATTATTATAGGGTTACGTAACGCATATGGGAGGCGTACACGCGCGTCCCATATGCGGTACGTAACCCAGCCTGCGACGCAGATGAGAGGGAGTCTCACGCACGCGCCCTCCGACGGGCCACGCGAATTCGTGACTTGTGTGTTTGTGGACGTGTGGTGGCCTGTGTGTGCGTGTGGAGGCGGCCGAGTGGACGCGCCGCGTGGACGCGGCGGGGTGTACGTGGCGTAGCCCCTAGCTGCCCGCGTGGGCGCAGGGCAGCTGCGCGGCCAATGGACTTCGACATTCGAAGCCGACATTCTTGTCATTATTAGAGAAATGATGAATTACTGGGAATTGCTTTTCAACTGAACTGTGAACGAAGCCTACGCGAATTGTGTTCATCGTTGCCGCACCTCACTCATTTGGGAAGGACCCCGCCTCGTGGCCTCCCGCACGCCACTTACCGTGCAGGTTCCATCCAGACACCTCTTCCAGCAATCTCTGCCTTCGGCATCGACCGACCCTCGATACCACCACGTGCCATTCAAAGCCTTAGCTCGAGAATTCACTGCCATTATTGCGACCTGATTCTCAGAATGAGCCAGTTTGACTTCTTATCCGCCATACAGACGATATCGGTTGCATCCACACAGATCCTCCCTCCGTTGCTGTCATCGCCGTCATTACCTGACATCGCAGATACAGCCATCGCGCTCAACCCGATCGTAACATCATTCTGGCTTACCCATATCCTCATCTTTTTGCAAATTGTCCTTTCCATCTTTTCGAGATCCTACGCCTGGAATGACCGCTTCTGGCCGTTTATACCACCAATTCTCTCCCTCGTCTTCACTCTCCACGCTCCGATTAGCTCTGATCGACGCACAGATTCACGTGTTGATCCACGCCTATCCCTAATGTGCGGCCTTCTCATTATCTGGAGCAGCCGACTCACGACAAATGCCATGCGTAGGGGCTACTACTCACCTGGCTTTTTGGATTATCGCTACACTTGGCTACAGGCTAATGTTCTTCGAATCAAGTTCCTCTTCAACATCGCCTACTGCGTCACCATTTGTGGCTACATGAAAATCATTCTAGCAATGGTCTCCTCGCCCCTATAATACGCATGGGTTTCGCGCGGACCGACAACACCGCTCTCATGGCTTGATGCACTTGCCGTGCCTGGCATGACGAGCTGCATCGTCCTGGCCACAGCAGCAGATAATCAACAATGGGCCTTTCAGTGTCGAAACCAAAGTGGCTTTCTCTGTCCTCTGAGGACCGCAAAAAGAAAGGCATGCCGGCTGGCTTTCCCGAGGCGCAGGATGGTTTTCGGCAGACGGGACTCTTCGCATGGTCACGTCACCCCAACTACTTTGGTGAAATTACCGGCTGGTGGTTCTTCTATCTTTTCTCGGTGGCCGCCAGCACACGCATTCTCAACTGGACGATCAAGGGGGCCTGTGGTGTATACTATCCTTTTCCAAATCACGACCCCACTCGCAGAGTACATCTCGTCTGAAAAATATCCCGCATACCGTGATTACCAAAACCGTGTTTCGAGGCTCATCATTATTGAGCAGGGCTGATTTTGTTCTGCATCGGTTTCTTTGTTGCGACACCTTTCGTCTAGTTCTTACAAGACTTAACGGCGGTACAAAATTACTATGGGCATTTGGTTGGGCGGCTAGGAAGCACAGGAAGTCGGTGGAAAGGGTGAAGTGCAGGGCGGCAAGGGCGATGCGGGCGAGGCAGAACAGGAGGGATGGAGATATGGAGGGCGCGGGGGAGGAGAAATGCAGGCGGAAGGGGGCTTGGACGAGAGAGATGAGGACGACGTGCGGGGTGCGGACTTCGTGCGGGTGCGAATGGGTGAGGTGCTGGAAGGCGGTGGCGCCGGCAGACAGGGGGCCCTAGTAAACCTAATGCATGCTCATCGGAGGTACTGCGGAGGCCCTACGGACCACACGTATGCAGAACGAAGTGTCTCGGGATGGCCACTGGAGTCAGTTTGGCAAAGTTTTCAAAATCGTGACAATAAGCGTACAGTATCCGGAGCGTTTCCGGAGGACATTTGATAGCAGTTCGCATTGTGTTTAAGGAACGTAGTACCACCGGAGGGTACCCGTAGTTCAGCTCATTTATATCAACTGCTTGCCTGGAATCGATCAAAACCTGGAGAAAAGCCTCGTCGTCCTCTCTCCAGTTCTTGATCGATGATGACGTCGTTCGATCTCGTGCATGAGCTCGCCTCACAAAGGGTAGCGCTTGCGCGGCAACCACCACTACCTCCAGCTCACCAGCTCTGCACCTGCTGGAGGAGACCGCGCCTCGCGCTGGCTCGCGCCGCGCCGCTTTGCGCACAGCCTTGTCCCTGTTCTCGCTCAACGCCCGGTATAATCCATGCCGTATAATTCCACATATTACTCGTATGCCCCTTCAGCCACTACATCAACACCCTAATTCACTGCTATTGGCTTCCCGTTAACGCCCTTGTGTAGAATCTCCCAGAAGAAGCCTTCCAACACATCTGGGTTCCGTGTCCAATCCTCGTTGGCATTCTCCTCAATAAGACGCAGTGCGTCCTTGTTCACGCGCTTGTCATGAACCAGAGCCTTTCGCACACGCTCACTGAACGTCATCGCCTTGCTTTCGTATTCTCGCAGTGATATCGGCTCTGGCGAGTCCTGGAATGTAGGATACTCCAATAAACGACCACAATCATCCTGAGCCCACTTACGGAAGCTGACGTGATCGCGACTAGGCTTTTTGCTCGTTTCCAAGGGGCGAGGATTTTCCGAAGTGAGGTCAGGTCCTCCAGTAGCCCGTGATCAGACTTTTGGTCTGCTCTACTGCTGCAGCCCATACTGAAGGCGTTGCGTTGTTGGCTTGCAGCTTAACGTCGAATGCTGTATCCGTCTTAACCACTGCAACCGCAATCCCGGACGCCATACTAGAAGTGGAACCTGGGGCAACAGACGTCTCGAGGCGGACCCTGTGGTGCATAGCTCTCGAGATTCGCCATGCAGCATACTCCCAGGATCGCTTTCGCGTGAAAATGAGCGAGGAAGACTATTCGATTCATTCTCTCCACGAGAAAGTCCTTCGCCGGCAGAGGCTGCAACAGCTTTGGAAACTACGCGCTCGGTCTCGCTTCCCTTCCCTGCTCCGCGAACAGCCGCGCCACGTCGCCGTCGCTGACCAGCTTTCGGATGTGCGCCAGCTGCGCGACAGAGCCCGCCTTCTCCACGGCCGCGCGCACGCCTTCGCGCTGCTCCTGCGACAGCCCTCCCACGCCCTTTGCCCCGCCGCTCTCGCGCGCGCCGCCGTTGGCCTTCTCCCTCGGCACGCCGCCGCCGCTCGCCTGCACGTGCCCAAAATCCAGCAGCTCCAGCTGCGGCAGCTGCTCGGCCACTCGCGCGCGACACCGCGTTGCCGCGCACTCACAGCCGCCGCAGCCGCCGCAGCTCAACAAGGTTGAAGTCTGCCACCGTCGCGATCCGGTTCCCCATCAGCACCAGCGTGCGCAGGTTTGGCAGCGACTGCGCGAGCCGGCCAGTGATCCGCGCGATCCGGTTCCCGCCCAGGGGCATCGTCGTTACACGTGGGAACGGCGAGAACGTGTCCTCCACCGTCGTGATCACGTTGTTGGATAGGTCCAGCGTGTCGAACCCGTCGCGCGCCCTCGCTAGGTTCTCGATCGCAGGGATCGACAGGTGCTGTAGTACCAGCGTCCGGTCCCACACCCATATCAACACCGCCGTAGACTGCTGCACCGGTTCCAAATCCCTCGCCACGGGGCGAGGGATTTGGAGTGAGGGGTGGTGGGGGGTGGTGGAGATAGAGAGGTGGCTTGCGGGCTGGGGTGCGGACCAGGAGAAAGAGGGATAGCGAGGTGGTGGGGCAGGTAATTTCGGGGAGGTCGTGGCGAGGAAGGGGGAGTTCATGCAGCCCCAGAACAGATCCACCGTTTTTGCGTAGATTTCGCCTTGTTGGTGGAGATGCATTCCCTTTTTCAAATATCTGAAATGCCAAATTTGGCTGCGCCAGTCACCGCAATACACGTTTACAAAAAATTTGATGATTTAGGCTGTTGCCCGCTGGAGATGCTCTTAGAGCATCCCCACCGGTAGAATCAAATACCCAAACAACCAAAATTTGATGATTTGATGTCGATTGAAATCCCCACCGGTGCAACCAAATCATCAAATTTTTGGTGTCGATCTAAAAATCGGAACCAAATATCAAGAATTTGGTTCGGATAGTCTCTGTTTGATTACCCTTGACAATCCAGTTGTGCACGTTCTATTGGTCGACAGAAACGGCTTCCCACCAAAAAGTGCATCGATGCGGTATTTGCCTCGAGATTACCAGTGTCTCCCGCCGATCTAGAATGCCGCCCACTACGGCGTGCATGCTCTTCCCCCTTCCATCCCTCCAGAACGTCGACGGCCCCGCCATCCCTGAGCGCGTCCTTCCCCGCCCGGCTCTTACAAAACAACAACACTTCCTCGACCAACCAGGCGCGAATCTCCGCCATCTCCTCCCGTCCCTCCTCCTTTGACCTCCCCAAGCACATTGCGACCGCCGCCGTACCCCAGCAACACATCATGGCACTCGTCCGCCATCGCGCAGTTCCGCACCCAGCTCGCCCCCGCCAGCCTCTTCTCTGCCTCCCCCGCCTCCAGCAATCTCAGCAACCTCGTCAACAGCTGTCTCTCCGCCTGCCTTCCCTCTACCAACAGGACGTCCCTCCCCTCCTGGCTCGCGCACGCATTCGACAGCCGCAGCACATTCGGAATACTCGGTACCCTCTCCACGAGTACGAGTAGCGTGCCCCTCTCCCGAAACCCGTCTGCGCCCTCCGCTTCGTCCACGCCCGGCGCGAAGCGCGTCAGGTTGGACAGCAGCGCCGCGTGCAGCGCGACGACGTCCGCGTCCAGGACCACCTGCGCTGCGAGCCGCACCGCGTCCGCGTGCGTCAGAGCCGCCGGCTCCTCGTCCTCCGACTGGTTCACATGCGCAGACAGTGCTAGAGCAGTGCGATTCGCTGCTCAGCAGCAGCAGCAGCCGCAGAAGAACGTCGCTCGCGGCTGTCGAGCCAATCATCCGCCGCAGCACCGCTGCCGCCGGCGCGTATGTTCTCTCCGGGATCGCGCTGCTCGCGGTCGCGTGGGGAGCGCGTGCTGTCCGTGAGCAGGGAGGACAGCGCCGGCAGTCTGTCTTTGTCCACGGTGGAGGTGAGAGGGAAGGAGTGCAGACAGAGTGGCGAGGGAGAAGGTCGCGGGATGGGTTTCGAGTGAGCGTGCGACTACGACTGAGGGTGCGATACGAGGGTGAGTACGAGTGTGAGTACAAGGATGCGATGGTGAGTACGAGGGCAATGTACTTCATTTGGTTCTCACCGGTGGGGCAGTTCTTTCCGAAGCATCAAACAGCCAAGTAACGAAACAACCAAATTCTAGGGAGCCAATCAAATTACAGAAAAAGTGTGCCAAGTGTTGTTATTTGATGATTTGATTGCGTACCGGTGGGGATGCTCTTAGGGTGCAATAAGCATCGCTCATCTCAACTTGAGGTGAAATATGCGCATGTCATCTCAACTTGAGGTGAAATGTGCGCATGTCATCTCAACGTGAGGTGAAATGTGCGCATGTTATCTCAATTTGAGCTGCAGATTCCGCAAATAATCCCGATTTAGCGCAACTTATTTTGCACTCTATTTGACTACTCCGCATACTTTTCGAGAGTATGTAGCAACATTATTGCATACCTCTCTGGTAGAGAGATATGCAATAATACGATGTTGTAATTGTGAGGGGTAGAGAGTCTCTACCCCCCACAATTGCAATTATCCGATCTCTCATACTATACTATTGTGACCAAAACATGCTCTTTTCTATCTCGAATGACGTAAGCTCGACAACTAGCACACTCTGATTCGAAGAGGGGTCGAATCTTATTTTTCCACAAGAGCCCCTTCACAGCCCTTCCCAATACCACTGAGTGGTACCTCTACAGAGAGACCCTTCCAGGCCATTTTCAATGCCTTCAATAATTTTATTCTGGCCCTGAAAGCAAAATCGGATGATCTCTGAAAACGACACGTGACGTTAAATCC